TATGGTCGTCGAGATCGTGTATGGAATGACAGTTCCAACTGGCATTCAGGGCAACCGAGGTGACTGGTCGACCTGATAATGCAGGCAGTCAATGAACATGTTGCCCAACGCCTCGTGAGCCAACGCCACCTTGTCTGCCGCCACGTCGTTTCGGAGGTGGAAGCAGCAGACCCTTATACGGTCGGAGCCGGCACGCTCCAGGACCTTGGTCAGTGCCTCATCTGGAATCATCGGTGGCGACGCCAACAGGGCCCTCTACCGGGCCACGGGCAGAAAGCAGGAGTCGATCGACATTCGTGGCGGGATGTACCAGAGCCTTCTCGACTACTTCTTGGAGGCCTGGTCAGAAAGCCCGAAATGCCTACACCTCTGCTCGCCTCGCGCGAGACACGTGTCAGCAAACGCCATGTGGCTTCTGAGGCCGTATGGGGGCGCGCTGGGGGTGCCGCCGGGCTGGAATACTTTTCCTGGTCTGGACCCTGTTATGGCGACGGTCATGGAATGGGGACACAGCATGTCGGACAACCAATGGGCTGAATTTCCAGCTTCAAAGACCGAGTTCGACATCCATGTCTCCGAGTGGCTGTTGAATTCCACCAGCGCCGCGTACCTTCTCAACGATCGGGACTATGACGCTCACACTCCGCTCCTCATCGAGGTTCACGCGAACCAGTACTCTGGAGGCAGGATGAGAGCGCTCAACCGCAATCCCGACACCGTGAAGGAAGCCGCGGACAGGAGAAAAGAGAGACAGAAGCTGAATAAGGCTCGTGGTTCTGGTTCTACTGGTCCTACAGCCACACCACAGGGAGCAAGCTCTTCTCAGGAAGAGGCAGCTTCTGGTGCTCAAGCTTCTGATTCTCAACGTCCTCAAGAACCCGCACAACCTCCTGGTGGCAAAGAAGGCGGCAAAGGAGGCAAGTCCTCCAAAGGCAAGGACAAGGACGCCAACAAGGGCAAGTCCAAAGGCAAGTCCAAGGGCAAGAACAAGGGGAAAAACTGACTAGGTTCCGATTCTTCGGACGTGGATATGGACAATGGTTCTGACGAAGTTCTTTTGGAACAAGATGAAGACGTTGCTCCAGATCCACAGATATCGCTACCTAGGTCCCCTGCTGATCCTCGCGGTTACGACCCTGTTCGTCATCAGCCGGTGATGCCGATTCATACCGTCGACATCTACCGTTGGCATGGTGCTGATCATTGGCGTGATAGAACCTGGGATCGAGACATAGAGTTCGTCGACTGAACTGGCTGAGTGTTTCACGGAAGGCTTCTTTCAGAAGAAGGTATCCAATCTGAACATTCGTCATTTCATAGGGAGATGCTTTTCTCAGGAGAAGGGACTTCCTAAAGAACTCTTACTCAAAAGAAGATACTTATCTCAGGATAAGATACTTCCAATGCCCTTATACATTTGCCATGTCGCAAGATGTCATGCTGGCATCAAGTGGAGCTTAGCTCTACAACCTTTTATGTTACAGTATGCTTTCCACCTGGAGAGGGAACTGAAACACAAGTGGGCAACTTTCAAGCAAGAGTTTCCAGTTGAAGATCCGTTTGCGTTTCGTGCGTGTTCTGCTCTTTTCAGTAAAGCTGTCTTCAGGTGAGAGAATGTATAGTTTCTCTTCAAGTCGCAGATGTAGCTCAATACTCCGCTAATTCGACCGAGAGCAATAACAGGCTAGTTGAATGCCGACTCCACGGCCATGCAGCTCTACGTGTTTTAAATTTGTGGCTGGTTGAAACACTGAATGTTACACATCCAGGTGCCTGTCTGTTTCACGTATCACTTGCATGTATCCATGCCTGTTGCTCAAGGTTCTAGTGCAGTGGACTACAGCTGTGCGCCTGTAGCAAAAGAGACACCTGAGTGCCTGTGTTCCTGTACGCCTAGCGAGGGGATACACGTCCAGGTTACATCTCAGAGGGGGGGGGGGGGGGGGGGGGGCGGGGGGGGGGGGGGGGGGGGGGGGGGGGGGGGGGGGGGGGGGGGGGGGGGGGGGGGGGGGGGGGGGGGTTGTTACGGTTTCTTGCAGGGCGAGGGTTTTGTAGGGTTTGTAGGTTTTGAGCAAGTTTGCCATATTTGCAGGTTCTTGTGGTGCGTTTAGAGGTTTTAGGTGCGATAAATGGTTTTCAGGCCTTCGGTTTGGGGTGAAGCTTGCCATGTAAGTCTTAAGGATTCTTAAGGGTTCGGAATTGCTGTTTTTTGGGCTTTGGGGTTCGGATTTTGTGGGTTTGGGCGGGATCCTCTTGCATGTCGAGTTTTGACAACGCTACAACGTCAAAGCCGCACCCTGATCCCTGATGCCCTCAGCAACTATTCTTGTTCGGGATCAACAAACTGATTTAAAGCTTGTGAAACGGGTGTAAGAATCGGGAGTCTGCTATATTCTTGACCTCGAAACCGTAGTAATTATAGGGGCCTGAATGTCTTGGAGTTCCATATATAGGTATGGCTGAGAATAGCCCCGAAACCCTATAGACATTAATTAGATCCCAAATCCGAAACTGTTAACCCGTAGCTCCGAACAGCACCACTATGACTCTGAGGTGCATGGCGCTCTTGGCTTTGCCTTTTATCATCTCAGGCCGCCATCGGGTGTAGCATCTCAAGGCTTTAGAGCTTCAGGGTTTGGGGTTCAGGGTTCGGGGTTCCTAGGGTGTAGGGTCTCAAAGTGGGCTTTGCAGCTTCAGTATCTAGAGTCTACCGTTGAGGGTTGAACGTTTTCGTGTAGGCTGCAATAGAGCCCGAATGAACCCTAAACCCCAATCAAACGCCCTAAAGCCCCAACCCCAACAATTCGTTGCCGTGGGCAGGCTTCTACGCGCTTTATGTCCGCTGTGACAGCTACCTGAGGCCTTTCCTTTACTTTATGGTGGCCGCCTGGAGCAACAGATTAGGGTGTTAGGGTATCAGGGTTTCAGATTAGGGTCTACTAGTGCCATACTATCATATATAAACTACTTCACTAACATATAGGGTGAATAAGAGTTCAGGAGTTTAGGTTGTCGAGTTTAGGGCCTGTTGGCTTAGGACAAGTGCGATTGTTGTGTGGGGCTCTATCATTCAGGGCTTTGAAAGGGCTCGACTTCTCTCTTTATCGTGGCCACCTAAACCAAACATTGACAGGGGTTTCAGGCATTAAGTCTAGTTTAGGGCCAATGGTCTGTTTGAGTCAAGTTTCCCTGGGTTTCTTTGGCTTTGAGGTTTTAGGTTTTAGCGTTCAAAGAGGGTCCTAGGCTTTGCAAGTCTGGGGTCTGTTGCAGTTCGCGTGTTTGGGGCATTTGAGGGGCGCAGGTTGCTGCCAGAAACTCCCGGTCCATCCTGTGGGAATTTATGCGCATTTAGTCCAAGTATCCGAATAGCAGCGTTTTACGTCCATAAAGGTTTTCAATGGCTTTAGGTAATTTGGGTCGTAAATACCCCGAAGAACCCCCATTTCAGAACCATACGGGATGCAACCCTTCACTATTTGGGTCCCAAGTACTTGGACCTTTATCGCGAAGGGGGGGGCCTCACGCCTGTTGATGCTACAAACCTGTATGGCCACACCCCGACACCACGGGATAACTTGTGACAGCCACTCATGTTGGCCGCAGACTTGAGGAAATCTGAACCCTAAACCCCATATCCCAAACCTCAACTTGAGAGACAGTTAGTAAGGCTTACATCCTAAACCTTAGCCGGAGATTTCTGAACCCTTCACCCTATACCCTGAGAAGCCCTAAACCGCAAAGAATCTGAGGTCAGCTTCGTGGCAGTTCCTCGGCTGAGAGTTTGTCGGCTTCTGTTTAGGGAGCAGAAGGCGTTTATGAGGTTGTTCATTAGGAGGTCTGGGATATTGACTCGAATTCGAAGGTTGGGTTCCAGGATTTTGCGGGTTATAGGCTGGTAGATTCAAGGTCAAGGGTTGATAGGGTTGTGTTCGGGTTCGGATTCAAGATGGGGCGATTGGGTTCAGCGTCGGACATGTTCAAACATCAAAGTGGCTTAGAACCTTATCAACCATAAACCCAACCGTATACCTAGAGCTGAAGCTCAGTCATTTGCCAGATGATAGAGTCTCTTCTAGGGTTCGAGGATCTCCCACCCTTACCCCTACAGCGCTCCAGCTCTCTCTATACATACTAATACTCGGGTCGGGATAACTGGTAATAGTGTTCCCTCATAATCCCTGTACAACTATGTAATCTGTAGTATGCCCACAAACCATTGAGGCCCTCCTATTACACATCCTGACGTTTACCCCAGCGCCCGGGCTCGAGGATTCAGGAGTGTGGCTTTAGATTGAGTGTCGCCTGCGGCATATCCGACGTCGGCTATAACAAATCCTGTTTCTGCCGACATGCTGAAAACGATCCGAATTCTCAAAATCCTCGCAGGAGATCGGGGAATGGATTGTGCCCCTCCTGACGGAAGGCAGTTGCCCTTTGAGCCACATGGGAGCACCCAAAGGCGGGCAGGGTGGCTTTGGGGTTTAGGTTTCTGTTTTATGAGATCTATGAGGGTTACTATGAGTGAATGAGGGTTACTTTTGGGTTTGCGGTCTACAAGTTCGCAACAGACTGGAATCTGCCTAGACTTAGGTTCCACCTGAGTGTTGCTTTTTCGACAGGCTCACATAACCCGAAACCTCCCGTTGCTGTGATGCTGCAGGCTCACGGTTTCTATGGTTTCAGTGTTTGGAGGCTCGGGGTTCGGGCTTTATGCATGTTTGGGGTTTGAGGGTTGGAGGTTTAGGGTTCAGTGTGGGGTTTCACGGTTTTGGAGTTTGGGTTTAGGATTCAGGTTTGTCTTTCCATGGTTCAGGGTTTGGTGTGCAGGGCTTCGGGATGGTATTGGAGAGGTTTTCAATATCATCATGCTTCGGTTTGATGCGACTTGAGTGGAATCTGACAAGAAATCCGTGCTGCTTGAAGGCTCGGCTCGGTGCCAAGAACAAAGGACTGCGGACAAGTAGCGACTCTCGTCCGATCAGGTCAAGATGTGTCTAGGCATGGCAGTGCAGGCTCTCTGCCAGCAGTTTTCTGTGCAGAAGGCTTCCGACAATGAGCAGATCCAGTGTCTCTCCCAACAGCTTTCCCAGCAGAAGGCTGCCAGCGAGAACCGGATCAAGCATCTCTTCGAGCAGCTTTCCTTGCAGAAGGCTGCCGACAAGGAGCAGATTGAGCGTCTCTCCCAACAGCTTTCCCAGCAGAAGGCTGCCAGTGAGAACCGGATCAAGCATCTCTTCGAGCAGCTTTCCTTGCAGAGGGTTTCCGACAGGGAGCAGATTGAGCATCTCTCCCAACAGCTTTCCCAGCAGATGGCTGCCAACGAGAACCAGAGCAAGCGTCACCAGGAACAGATTACGTATCTCTGGCAACAGATCGGCGAGCTTCAGCAAGATCACCATGCTGCACAGGAAGTATCCAAGGCACTTCTGTTGTCGAGGCTTCCGGAGTTTGTCACAGCTGTTTCTCGCAGCTCCCCGACGGTGAGACGTGTCGTCCTGCCATTGCACAATTTCCTCAGCGTTCTTTTCCTGGAATCAATGGCAAGTCACCGGCAGCACCTGCATTCAGGTAGGTTTTGCGACCCGCCGAAAGTTGAGATCACCAGAATTTGTGAGAGCATCAACCCAAACATACAAGAGCAGTATCTTCACGCACGAAAGCTTCTCGTGCAAAGAAGACCTGATGGTTGCACACCTCTCCGAGGAATCACAGCTTTCAAGTGCGCAGTGGAATGTGGACATGTGAACCTGAATGAGTATTTGCTGTTCCACGGCTGTCCAATGGGTGCCGTCCAGAGCATCCTCGAGAACGGATTGGACCCCCAACGTGGAGGAGAAGCCGCTGGAAGCATGTTCGGGAAAGGAGCTTACTTTGCAGAGACTGCTTCGAAGTCGGATCTTTATACGACTTGTTCAGAGTGCAGATCATACAGAGAATGCAAGCATCCCCGAGCAGAGCGATGCATTTTGGTTGTACGTGTCCTCTTGGGGAAGACGAAGATCGTGACAACAGAAGATTGCACTTCCTTGAACCGGGCGCCGGAGGGCTACGATACTGTCACTGCCCAGAAAACGTCGAACGGTGGCCGCTTGGACCACACGGAGTTTGTGGTGTACAAAGAGCAAATGACACTGGTGCGCTGGTTTATTTGTTATCGCCATAAGAGCGAGTGCGAATGCCACAACTGCAAATATCGCCGTAGTTGACACTGCTCAGTGGGGGGTTGTTTCTGAGCGAAAAGATGCGTGACTTCTTGGAAGCTGCTCCCAGAAAGTGCATGCGCGACCTCAATTAAAGAATCTACCTTCAGCTTTACTGGTAGCCGATTGTGAATGCGTGGCACATTCCTTAAGTGGTTGCTCTTCAGACTTCTTGGTGCGGAAGCGATTCTTCGTCCCATAGGGTTTAGGGTTGTTTTGGTGCACCAGCGCTGTGGGTTCACAATTTCTTCAGGGCCGAGAGGACTTGGTAGGCACGGTTAGAAGTAAACTGACTATAGCTACAGCTGTTCCGAGCCCTTGGAGAAGCCTACAGATTGAGCTCAAACCCAGCCCCAACTTTCTGGCGTTAAGATGCCGAGTTGTGGACTTGTGCTGGGGTTGAGGGTTAGGGCCATCTAAACGCCCCACCCCTTCAGTCGAGGCCCAGATACTGGGTGCATGGGCGAGCTCAGTGCTTCGGGTTCAAGAGCCTCCCGAGCACTCAGCACTGAATGCAGAAGGTCGAGACTCTCATCAATTCTAGAGCTCGTGCGGGGCTTCGGGACTTTATCCCTAATTTACCCAGTCCTTAGGAGAACTGTGTAGTTTCCTGCTTTCGGCATTCTGCCTGAATTCAGGGTTTCACAGTTTACGGTCTGGGTTTACCCTAAGGCTCCAAAGTAGTTCCTTTTTGGGGTTCATATTTAGAATCCTATAAGGTAATCCCAAAAAGGAACTACTATGGAGCCTCTGGGTAGCACTCAGGGAATTTTGTGCTTGGTGAGCTAAAGTTCCCGCAGCCGGGCCCAACCCCGCAAATGCACAGTGTCTCAGCGCATGAGTTGCTGCCCGTTGTTTCCTTTTTGGGCGCTTGCACCCTCAAGGTTTAGGCTCCTGCGATTTAGGGTTTGAAGCTTGGTGTACAACCCGAAGCCCTGAACGGTTTTGGGCTGAGCACTTGGGCCTTTGGACCTTGCTAACCTGACTGACGAGGGCGCGTCATCGCCGGCATGTCAGCGGCGTGCGGATTGATGGAAGTCCTATTCGCTTTCTTCATCTGTTTCTCAGCCGACGTCAGTACTTTCCCTAAAGGTGCAAAGGAGGCAATAAGTGGATACTTGGATTTTACACTCGCTCTCGACTTAATCATCATGGCAGAACAGAGTTTGGAGCCGGGGGTACCCTGAAGAACGATACTGATACTGGTAATCGGTAATTATTCAGGCTTTCACATTACCCGTGGCTCCTCGAATCCAGGCGGATACTTTGACTGTAGGTTCTCCACCGGGCGCCGTGCTTCCGGCTACGCCTACCCCCATGACCGACGCCATCAAGGAATCCTACAATCACCTAAGCATGCTATCCCTGCATATACCACGTTTAGAGTTTTATAGCTTTTATGCTTACATATGTGCGTATGGTCCCTATCAAAGGCCTGAAGATGTCGCAGCCAACCAACCTCCAAGAATCCACACACCTCCCAAAAACTGAGAACACTGACACAAAGCATTAAACCCTAAACACTTGGTTAAGAGCCCTCGATATACCAAGCGTGTGAAAGTAGTAGGCCTCAGGACGAGAACCCTGATGGGCCGCAAGTTTCAGAATCAGGTTCCTGCATTGAGCATGGTGGCGTACACCCAAGACCTTTACGCCTTTGCAACAAACTGAACATGGCAAACCCTAAAAGCCTAAGCCCCAAAAGACCTAAACACTAAAGGTAGCCATTCTGCGGGGCTTTTGAGGAGCAAGAGCCATCATATTCCTACCCAGGAGGGTTCACACATATATATAACACACGCACATAATATATGTAATTAAATATATATATATATATATATATATATATATATATACACATATATATATATATATATATATATATGTGTACACATACATAATACCCATATATTGTGTATATAATATACATATATTGTATAGATTCTTATTTTTAGTTTATATTATGTGTTTTAAACTATATATTAAATACTGTCTGATTATATATATATATATATATATATACATATATGTAATTATATATTCATACACACACACACTAGTACCATGTAATTTCCCCCCCAAAAAAATGATTAGAATGATTTGGTGGTCTAATTCCATAATGGTCGTATCTTCAGACCCTCTAAGTCCATGTCTTGAGATCCGAGGCCAACTTGCAGCTGTCGAGGCCTACCTCATCTTCACGGTGTGGTCCCTGTGTGAGGACATGAAGGCAGGATGTAGGGTTTGGTAGGGTTTAGGGTGCTTCGCGGGTTGGGGTGGTCCGTAATTGGTTATCAACGAACTAGGGTAATAAAGGTGCCTTAATGATTGGAAAAGCGTTTTGCCCCTTAGCCTTAAACCCTAAACCCCGGCCCGTACAAAACCCAAACCCTAAAGCCCTGAACCCTGAAGCCCAAACCCCTAAACCCCGAGCCTAACCCCCAAACCCTAAACCCTAAAGCCCTAAACCGCTAAACCCAAAGCCCTACAGCAAAGCGCTTAAGGCTTGTAGTGATAATAGGGGCGCCGGGTTTATAGTTGAGGGCTTAGGAAATTGAATCCTGAAAGGTTCACAGCTCCTGAAACCCTCCTCGGAGACACGAACATAGACGCCGAAATATTTGTCAAATCTTGTTCCTTCTGTGTTCCTTATTCTTTTTCATACCAAAGAGGAGCCGACAACACTTTAGTCCAACTTGACGACCCCTACATCTGGTTTTAGCAGATGGGACTTGGTTGGAAGTGTCTTGTTTGGGTTTGAGGTTTCTGCAGGGTCCAGTGGCTCCCTAAACATTTCACATTGTATTACAAGTATGCGCTCCGTTTGCAGCAAGGACTTGTTGGAAGCCTTTTGGATTTGGGTCAGGAGAAGTACCCAGACCTTCCAAAACCCCTTAATTAAGGAATATACCTTAAATCATATTAAGGATCCTACTATACTTTAAGGTATATTCCTTAATTAAGGGGTTTTGGAAGGTCTGGGTAGTCCATTTCATGTAAATGTATCGGAGACCCCTGCCATCTGTGAACCCTAAGACCTCAGGCTTCGGACTTCGGGCTTATAGCAGTTAGGGTTTAAGGTAAAAGCCAGAAAGTTGGAATATGATTATCCTATATAACCCTTCTATGGTAGATTATAGGGTATCCTACCATTTTTTCCATATTCCAACTTTCTGGAGTTCCCTGTAGGGCTGAGGGTTTGGAGTTTAGAGGTGTACAGCTCAGCTGATTTTTGGGTTTAGCGTCTCACCCCTCCGCCCGAAGCTTCGAAGCCCCAAGCGCCTATGTCCCAAGAGGGTCCATCTACACTACCATTATGGAATTCGGTCCTCAAAACCATAATGGGGATTGTCTTTTGGGACCCAATTCCAGAATGGTAGTACATATGGGAGTTTCGGAAAATTAGGGGTACCTTACTTGGGGCTCCTTTTTTAAGGATCCTACTATTTAGGTCCCCTATTTTCGGACACCCCCATATGGACCCTCTGGGTTCACGACGAAAAAGCCTTAAACTGCCAGAGGCAACTACTACTCGGGCAACTCCTACTCAGACTCTGTGAAACGGTTTAGGGTTTAGGGTTTTCAGGGTTTAGGGTTTAGGGTTCACACGTTTTTGATGTTGACTTACCGTCTTTACAGGTATCTCCCTGTGAGACCCTAGTGTACAGTAGAAGCCCAAAAGTTGGAAGCTCAATAGCTTCAAGTTTGCACCCTTAACTCAATAACGTTTGTAATCCTAGGTTATGGGTCCCAAATACCCTTATTAAGGGCCATACTCCATGGTTTAGGACCCAAACCCAACGGTACGAACCCTAAGGGTACCAAGGAAAACTCTTGAAAGATCCTATGACAGAGGGGCAACTCCTACTAAGGTAGGGTTTAAGGTGTAGGGTTTAAAGTTTGGGTTTTAGGGTTTAGGGTGAAGATCCAATGACAGAGGTGAGCATGAAGGGCCAGTTGCCGCAGCTCTTGGTGCACAAGCAATCCCGCGAGTTCAGGGCTCGGCTTCCCTTTTGGGGTTCAGGGTTTTGGAAATTTCATACAGGGGCCGCAGTAGTTACCAATACATTGTGCGGGGCTCCATTTATTAATGGTAATAACAATAGTAGAATGAGCCCCCAAACCCAATTCGAACTACTAAGGCCCTTCTAGTAGGGTTTGGGGTTCAGGGTGCAAGGCGTAGGTGTACAAGGAATACCGCCAGTCGGCGAGTTCAACTTTCCGTACCTTTTTTGTGTTCGGGTACTGGAGGAAGGTTTTAGGGGTTAGGGTTTCGAGTTAACGCTTCAAGGGTTTAAGGGCTTTTTTGGTAGGCTCCACTTTCAGATTAAAGGACACGTAGAGGGCCGAGCGGTCTCTTCTTTGGAGAGCGAGTCTGGGTTGCGGCGACGGTTTGCGCTCGGTTCTTCAGTCCGTGTGAGTCCGAGCTACCTTAGGAGCCTTAATAATTAGAATAGCAGGGTTTTGGGACCCATGATAATATAAAAAGTAATGAGGAACCCACCAAGATAGTGCAATTAGGCAAGTTTGTAGGCCCCTGTAGTCGCAACTTCGAAGCTACCTTTGATGGACACCCTGCATAAAAGTACTCTAAACTATGGGACTTGTGTTACATTCCTGTCTTCGGGTACCGCAAGATTTAGTCCATCAGCAGAATGAGCGAACCTGTTCAATGCTTCGAGACCCAGCAGTCAAAAATCCCCACTATGGGAGTTTCCGAAAATTAGGCGTACCTTATTTTGGGTTCCTTTAAAGGGTTCCTATAAGGGGGTACTATAAGGGTACCTTAAAGGGCTCTAAGAGTTTCCGAAAATTCGGCGTCCGTTATTTTGGGGTCCTTATAATAAGGATCCTACTGTTTAGGGTACTATATTAGGGTCCTCTATTTTCCGGAAACTCCCCCATCTGCATGACCGCTGTAGCTGAGATGCATTGCAGCCACCAAGCAACCTTCGGTCTATAATGGTCTTCAATGGTCTCTAGTTTGGGTTTAGGGTGTAGGGTTAGGGTCTATAGAAAAGGTTCTGCATTGCCTCACAGCCTCAAACTGAGATTAAACTGAAACCTTAAGCCGTGATCCCGTACACGACAGTGAGGTGTTCAGGTTTGGGGTACTCGTGCATAGATGTAGGTCAGCAACTGATCAAGGGATTCCATGATTGGTTGATGTGCGTGTCCGGACTGGCGTTTAGGATTCTGACGTGCGTCCCAACTTTGCAAATCCTTGCTTTTTGCACCCCACGGCTTTCTCAGAGGAGAAGGCAGGTCCTGTAGATCCCTCATGCCCTAAACGGCTTGAGGCGTTTGCAAAGCTCCAATCCTAATACCTTGGCCCCTGCCATAAACCATGAACCCTTGAATCTTTGGCTCCGAAATCCCGAAGTTGTCTTTGTTCTGAAAGCCCTTTCAAAATCCTTTGGAGGCGTTGCCGCATCCCCTAAAACTCCACTTAAATCCGAAACCCCACTCAAACCCCAAACCCTAAACCTTTTAAACCCTAAACCCAGACCCCAAACCATAAACCCAAAACCTTCTAAGCCCTAAACCCAGGCCGGTGGGCGACCCAGCATCGGCCCTCTTCGGCGGCCAAAATCGGGGTCTCGGATATGGCGCTTTCTGAGCAGGGTCGAGTGTTCAATGTGCACGGTTTTCTTTGAGGATTTGGGTCTATAGGGTTTAGGGGTTTAGGGGCCTCATGGTTTAGGGTTTAGGGTTTCCGGGTTTAGGGTTTAAGGTTTTGGGTTTAGGGTTTAGGGTTGGGTTTCCGATTTGTGATGGTTTTGAGCGTGAGGGCTCGGCATTGCGATTGGTAGGATCTGGTTCAGATGTTGCAGATCATGTTTGAGGCTAACACGGCCTCCCCCGAACGGCTGCTTGACCGCTTCGCATGGGTTCAAAAAGTTCTTTCCTGGGGGACTCTGAACGAGAAGCCTCAAGATCTTGAGCCTAGCCCCCTAAACCCTCAACCCTAAGCCCCCCAGGCCGTAAACCTTTTAAGTAAATGCCCAGCCGAAGCGACGCAATTGAAGCTTGCGATCGTTCCCAGGCTGATTTCACCGGGGATTGAAGAGTTGCCGAAGAGTAGTCCGTAGGGATCCGTAATATGAGTGCGCTGTAGTATTTGCAAATTTTAACGCTTCATTCTAATTATTGAGCCGCCCATACCTATTTTGATCTCCTCCTACTTCCTGCCCTCAAGCCTTCAGCCTCCATCTGTGCCGTTCCTTAAGTTGGCCCTAATCCCTAAATGTAGGAGCCTGATTAAGAGACCCTGGGCCCATGACCCCCGTAATAGCAGGATTCACATAAGGAACCCCAATAAAGGCCCAAGGTTTCTTAATCCCTAAACCCTAAACCCTTCCTACAATAAACCCCTCCTTGCTTTCCAATCCAGAAGCTTCGATGCTTGTCTCGGGCTCGACAGCTCTAATCGGCCCGAGGCTGCTAGTAGTGGTTTAGGGATTTGGGGTTTAGAGATTAAGTGGTTAGGGTTCAGGGATTCGGGGCTAGAGCTTTGATCTCAGAGAGCGTCCTGCATTAAGAACCTGAATACTCAAAAACCCAAGCCCTATAACCTGGGATTTCTTTCATCAGTCGGCTTTTCAATTCATACTCGGGATCCAGTCGGTCTTGCTTGCATTCGAGGAGCTTCGGACTACCAAAGCACCAGAAAAGCTCTATGCCATGCCCTGAGAACCCATACGCCCTGCAGCCCTTGAATCCCCCTCCCCGAAACCGGTACTGTGGTTTGGAGCCATAAGAGGGTTGAGGGTTTAGGGTTTAGCGTTTAGGGTTTAGGAGAACCCTCAGAGTACTGAGTAACCTTATCAGACTCAGGGCAACCCTTGTAGAAAACCCGTATTGAACCCTTGTGGAACTGCTGTCGTACGCCTTATCATGGTTATAGAACCTCTTACAGCAACCCTTATAAAAGCCTCATAGCAACCTTTGTGAACCCTTCTGCGAAGCCCTTATACAACGTTTTGTAGCATCCCGTATTTAGTAATCTTACAGTATCACTTATAGTAAAGCTTATAGCAACCCTTGTGGACAACCATAGAACAGGGTTTAGGGTTTAGGGTTTAGGGAACACTATAGCATGCCTTGAAGTAAGCTCTACTAGAAAGCACCGAGACACCTATAGAACTCATTTAGCAACCTCAAAGCCTAAAAGACTGAACCCCCGGCCTTCATTATAGAACCCTTATAGAACCCTTTCAGCCCTAAGCCCTAGCTCCAAACCCCTTAGAGACTTGCACCCCTAAACCCCTAAACCCTAAACCCCAAACCCCAAACCCTAAACCCCAAACCCTAAACCCCAAACCCCTTCTAGAATCCTTTTTGGGCCTCGCAGTGTGAGCTTTGACGGGACACAAGGCAACACCGCGAGGAGCTTCGGTGTGCCTCGGCGAGAGGCCAGGGAAGACGGATTTTGGTCAGGAAGGGCCTTTAGGGCTCAGGATTTAGGGTTTAGGGTTTAGGTTTTTAGAGTGCTACAAGGGCACTCTAGAGTGACCGGGAGGGTACTAAGCGGTTTCAGCAAGGTTTGTGTTCGATAGGGTTCTCCGTTTCTTTTTGGAGTTTAAGGTTTAAGTTGTCGGGTTTCGATTTTTATGTGTTTGTGTTGGTGCTGTTTGTTAGAAAGGAGTAACTATGTACTGTGTCTAATGTTTTTCAATGCATTGGGTACTTTGACAAAAACTCTCTGCTGAGCCGATTTGTAGGGGGTACTACGTCGACACACTAAGTCGACAGAATCTCCCGATTTACGAATTCCCTTGACCCTAGGGCCAAGGGGCTTTAAATATGACACCAGGCTTCTTGGCGAATTTTTGGCGGCTCCGGCCCGACAGGCGTAAGCATTTGATGTTTGAACACCTGACCGTCTACTGGAGACCGCAGTGACCTGAAAGCTGCACATCAGAAAACAGTAACCCATGCGAAGCAGGGTTTAGTCGGGTGTATTTCTGTAGGATCTTTGCAGACCTATAGGCACCTAGGTTCTTCGGGTGGACCATGTTCGCTCACCAGATGTTGCAACCCATAGCCACGCATCCCTAAAACCGTGCTACCTCCCCCAAAGAAATTAGAAAAAGCTTCAACCCGTAACCCAAATCACTAAACTCTAAACCTTAAACCTTAAACCCCTAAATCCCAAACCCTAAACCTTGAAAGCTACACCCTTGACCTTAAACCCTAAACCCCTAAATCCTAGAGCCTACAACTTAGGGCTGAGCCTTGAAGCATGAAGCCGAATCCCTAAAGCCTAGAAACCCTAGGATGCCCAGTAGTACCCTTAGGGATCTATAAGGGTTCCTTAAAGGGATCTAATAAGGGTTCTATAAAGGGTTTAGGGTTTCCGAAAATTAGGGGCTAGGATGCCCCAGTAGTACCCTTATTCCCTTTTTGTAGTCCTAGGTTCCTTATAAAGTTACCCAATACCAAAAAGAGAGGCCTTTTTATTCTTAGGTTACTGGGTATCCTAGAACCTGAAACTTTGAACCCTACACTCTAAAGCCCTCAACCCTCAACCCATCAGCAGCATTTTATGAGATTCGGTTTTGGCGTCTTGAGTGCTTCGGGCTTGGGGTCGAGGATAGCAGGTACAACATGTCATTTTGATGTTCGGTCGGTTTCAGGTCTTGGGTTCTTGGATTTTTTGGGGGGTTCAAGGTGTCAGATTTAGGGTTTAGTTGTGGGCTTTGGAAGCCTTAGAGGCTTTCCGAACTAATTAAACCTTAAACCCTAAACCCTAAATCCTTACGTACAGTAACTCCTACAACCCTTGAACCCTAAACCCTCAACGCTCTGCCAGGCAAGGTTTACATGATTCCGACCAAGCGGATCACCATGATGCTCGCAGCACATCAGCATCCTGGCGCAGATAAAGAGCCACAGCAGTTGGAGTTTGGGGCCTTATGGTTCAGGGTTTATATGGTTTTAGGGTTTCGGGACTTAGAAGTTAGGGGAGTCCACGGGTTCGGGGTTTAGGGGTTTCGGGTTTCGGGATTCAAAGGTTTATACTGAAGTTTTAGGGTTTTGGATGTAGCTTTCGGCGTTCAGGGAATACTTCACATTCGTTTCGGCATTGCATTCTTGAAGGAGGATCCCAGCACCATCCACGAAAGGATATACTTATCCGGAGATTCTGGACATGTGGCTGCGAAGGTCAAACCGTGTCCTATTTCAAAATCCGTAAATGTGAACCCTCTGCAAACCCTATACTTCCTAAGCCCTGAACCCTATTCCGCAAGTCCTGAGCCTGAATCCTGAAGATTAAACCCAAGCAGCCACACTTGTCCATCCTGTACACCGAACCTTCATTCAACTTAAAGCCCGAATTGCATGATTAAGCTTAGTTACTTCAGCCCCCCTGAACCGACATGCGCAAACCTGACGTTCGATCGACTCTTAGCGCCCGCCAACCAAAGCTGCTAAGGCAGCCGGCGCTGACGAAGATAGCCCTGAACGAGAAGAGGCCTGCGGGAGTTCTGCTTTTCAAGCGCTCTAGGATTGTAGGGCTCAAGGGCGTTAGGCTATGGGTCCACAGTTTGGATAGTGGACTCCAGGCAAAACAAACCTAGCCCAAGCCGCAAAACCCTGTTTTTTTTTATTTATGGCCTGCTCCCAAAAAAATCTAGCAAACAGCAACACCTTAACCCTCAACCATACTAGAAGGTTTCACCTCGCCCGCGCTGGCCCGCTCCGCGGCATGAAACCGCTGCGCGGCACTGGCAGGTTCTGGGGGCACAGGATTTTTAAGATGTAGGGTTTTTTGCGCCCGGGGTAAGTAGTAAGCTTAAACTCTCATGAACCCTAAACCCTGAACTCTAAACCGTTGCTATTCATTCTGAAGCGCTGAAATCTTTATCGTTTATTGATGTGCCTGGGTTGGTGACTGCATCTAAATCTGGCCCATCCTTCGTTTCCTACATTTTGCTTTGGCTCGTGCTTCAATCCAGGCTCGATTTTGTAAACCAAACAAAGCAGCAGCCCTTATCGGAACGTAAGAGGGGATGTTGGCTGAGCTGAAAGCGAAAAGCCATAGGTTCACAGTTAAAGCCTTATGGACGGTCAGAACCTTAGTTTGTGTTTTTGGATAAGGGTACCGGGACTGAGGAGTTTAGGCCTCAGGGTTGGTAGCTATAGTTTTCGGATTTATGGTCAGATCTGGTGGTTTACGTTTTCGGGTTTGGGGCTTTGGGGTTTGGACTTTCGATGTTAAGGGTCTGCCGCTTAGAGTTTGATAACCCTGAACCCTATAAACCCTCAACCCTAAACCATCAATGGGGTGAAAGTCCGTTTAAGGTTGTTTGATCGAGTCTGGGCGGGGAGAGAAGTCTCGGGTACTTTCTAGGGGCCTAAATAGTTTGGGGCTTCTTCTTGTAATAGTTATAGTATCCTGGGCCCCAAAACCCTACGTATTCTAATTAACAAGGCCCCTGTATCCTTATGAGGTTTGGGTCATTGAACACACCTACCCGCCCCGATCAACAGTGGTGCGACTCAAGGCTTAAAGCCTTCAAATCCTTAAGGTCCCAACCCCCTAATTTTCTAAAGCCCCGAACCGCAAAGCCCCAAAGCCTTCAAAAACACCTCTGCCCTGCCCTGCCTGAGAAA